TTTTTTTTTTTTTTTTTTTTTTTTTTTAAGAGTTTAAAAATGAATATTAAAATACTGATTTATTTACAGCAATATGTATAAAAAATTATCTAAATCAGATCTCGAAGATATTCCAGATAATGAACTTCAAGATCAACCAATCCCAAAGCCATTATTAGGACTTTATTTAGTTGGTTGGGGTATAGCTATGATCATTTGTGGTATATCTGGTGCAATAAATTTACGAGAATATGCTGGATATTCTTATTGTTTTCTCACATCTGGACCTGCACTTGTTGCTCTCTTTGTTCCAGCTGGAATTCTAATTATGTATTTAATTATTTTTCATTTACTTATTAAATGCTCAATACAGAATGTTGATATGAATGCTCAGTTATCTGAAGGTACACAAGCTACAGAAAATATGGATTTAGAATTATTGGAACCGAATACAAATATTTCTGTGGATAGAAATAGTGCACATAGTGCACAAACTGTTTTATCTGATATTGAAGATTCAGAACATTCTCAAATAACTCAATTAAAAGGTCAAATTATTACATTAATTTTATATTTAATATCATGGATTACTGCAGCAGCAGCTATGACAAAACCATTAAATGCATATATTTCATTTGATGAGACTATATTTGCTACATTATATTCATTTTTTTCTAGTTCACTTGGTATTTTTATCCTTTTTTTTTATGGAATTGCACGAAATGATGTTCGATCACAATGGTTAAAAATGGGTTGTTGGTTTCAAAAACGAAAAAATCGATGTTGTCGAACAAGAAGTATTTCTGATGCGAATCCTGTAATAGCACCACAGTCTTTAGTACAAAATTTAGTACCCCCAATATCTAATTCTCAAGCTACCCAAGTTACATCTGATTCAAATTCCATTAGTTCATCCAGATATACCAATAGATCGCAAACTTATAATGCATTTAAAATTACAGATATTATAACAAATCAAGAAATCTCACCTATTAATAGAAAAATGACAAATGTAAACTTAGTTGTATTACATCGACAACAATATAGGTCTGATAATTCTGTTACAACATATATTGAACCGACTTGTGTTGAAATGTTTTATAATCCTCATCAAAGTGGAGTTGCTAGAAAATTCTTCAGAAAACAACGTCGTCATACAAAAAATAATAATCTCGGTCCTCGGAAACAAGGTGATGGAGGTGCTGTAAGTGATGCTGGTAGTTGTATTTCTGTTCCACGATCTACTGCGAAATTAGAAAGTAATATAGACCAAACTATTTTAAGTAGCAGTGCAAAAGTAAATAATACAAATATCCATGTTGAATTAAATCCAATAAATGATATTAAAAATGTTAATATACTCTCAGACAGCGGTGGTAGTGTTTCAGAGGAAAAAAATGTTCCAGTACGATTTGTTATTGGTCAAGAAAGTCTTTTTCGAAATGTAAAAAAAGTTAATAATAATTGTAGATTACATGATTCTATAAACAGAATGTCAAATTCTGCAAGAAACAATTGCCAAAAAGAATTACTAAATATAACTTTACATGATTCAGATATAGATATTAAAACTGATGAAGAAAAACACTTACAAAGTGTTTCACAACAATGCAGTTTAGAATATAGTTCTGAAATCGAATCACAAATGATTAGTGAAAAAAGTGATCATAATATGTCAGAAATTTATGAAACTGTAGAAACTGTTACAGAAGCAAAATTTTTAAAAAAAGATTGTCAAAGTATGAATGAATTTTATGAATTAGAAGAACGACAATCTAATGTTACTTTAAAATGGTTGACTCATTCTAATAGCATGCATTGCCTTCCAATAGATACTGCAAAACCATTAAGAAATAATTATTGTAATTCATTAAATGACATTACATCTCTCACCAGTTTAAAAAAATGTGAATATTTAAAATCATTTACAGACCTACAAAATATTACAAGCTCAAATTTATGTGATAAAAGATCCCTATCTCAAAAATCATTTAATAAATCAGAATTATCTTTCTTTAAAATAAATAGTGTAACAAAAGATAATTTAATACCAACTACAACATATATAACTCCTGAAATAAGTTTTGAATGTGCCTCTAATACATGCACTGATGAATATAAATCTAAACAAAAACTTGTCAATTCTATGATTGATATGAGATCTCTTATGCATAGTTCTTGTAATATTATAAGAAATTTAGATATAAAAAATGAAGTAGAGAGTTTAAACAAACAACAAAATATACAGAATATTGAAACCAATAAAACACATTTAAATAATCCAAATACTTATCTACAAATAGTCAAAAAAGAAACAAGTGTTTAATCTAGTTTTGCTTATATAAAACACATAATATATCAGTATAGAGATTTTATCTAAAAGAATAAAAAAAGAATAAAATAATTTTTCTTTCTTTGACAATATTTACATTTTTATAATATTAAAATATTAATAAAATTAAAAATAGTTATTTTATTTTAATTTTTTTTTTTTTTAATAATTTATTTATAAAATGCAATTCCTATACGATATAGGAATATATATAATATATATATATTATACTTTTTTATAAAAATATTTTTAAAACATTTTTATTCATGTATATGAAACATTAAACTATTTGTTAGATATGTATTTATTCAAAAAAATTGTACATAATTAATACAAACAAATCCCATATTTTTATGAATTCTACATGATTTATTTCTTTGCTTTGTATATAAATTGTTTTGTAAAAAGAGTGCTCAAGAATTATATACTTATAACTAAAAATATATCTTTACTGAGATTTGCTTCCTTCATAAATTTTTTAGATTTAAGAATATTTTAATTAACTTAATTGAATTTTTTACCAATGATTTTTTGTACAATAAATTTTCACATATTATGATTTTTATAATTATATGTGCAATGTATAAATATGCTCTATATAAGACTGAATATTTTATTAAATAAAATTAAAGTATATCAAATTTGTTATTATCATCTGCTTTTACATGTCTAAAATAAATTTATGCAATATTTGAAAAGATATAAATAATTATCATATATATTTAATATTTTCAATATTTAAAATAATATTAAAAAATAAAGACATGAGCACCTGTGTTGCATACATACACAAAATTGTGTAGTATATAAGAATATTACTTTTATATAAAATTTATATGTAATGTCTTTCTTATATTTGGAAAATATATTTAAATGTTTAAAAAATATAGTGTTATATCTTAATTTATATTCTTGTAACTTATTATTATTAAATGATATTGCACTTGAAAATAACAAAAAAAAATTTATTATATAAGTCAAAATTATTGTATTGAATTATGTTTTAAATTAAAAGGTAATAGTTTACAAAGCTTTTTTATATTACTTTAACCATTCTTTAGGATTTCTCAATACATTAACAAGTTCTGCTTCTTTTGAATCAGGTTCTGGTTCATGCATATAATGCCATTTTGCTGACAAAGGCAAAGACATTAATATACTTTCATATCGTGCTCCAGGTGTATATAAACCAAATTTTGTACCACGATCATATATTAAATTAAATTCAACATATCTTCCTCTACGTAATAATTGCCATTGCCTTTCAGCTTGTCCATATCTATCATTTTTATGTTTTTCAATTAATGGAATGTAAGAAGGAATTACAGCTTCTGCACAAGATTTTACAAATTGAAATGCTTCTTCTTGGCTAGGTGTATCAATGTCATCAAAAAAGATACCACCTACTCCTCTACGTTCTCCTCTATGTGTAATAAAAAAATAGTCATCACACCATTTTTTATATTTTGGATAAAACGAAAGATCATGTTTATCACATGCAATTTTTAAAGTCTTATGAAATTGTTTTATATCATCTTCATTTAAATAATAAGGTGTAAGATCAGTACCACCTCCAAACCACCATTGAATCGAACCATCTGAATTTTCTACTTCAAAGTAGCGATAGTTAAAATGTATTGTTGGAATCATGGGATTACGAGGATGAATTACAGCACTTACACCAGCTGCAAAAAATGGTACAGATCCTTCTTGCATATTTTTTCCACGTGCTCTCATTTGCTGTACTGCACCTGGTGGTAATGTACCAGTAACAACAGATACATTTACACCAGCTTTTTCAAAAATAACTCCATCTTGTAAAACACAAGTAATTCCTCCACCACCTTCCTTTCTAATCCATCTATCAACTTTAAAACGATGATTTGGATCTTCTAAGGATTCCAGAGCTTTACAAAAATCTGCTTGAGTTGTCATTACTAATAATTCCATTTTTTTTCTCATATCCTGTCTTTTACTTAATTCTTTAACATCAGTAATAGGTTGTGCCATAAATCTTTTTATATCTAACTCATTTTGGGCTGCTAATACTGTAATTCCTGAAGTACTATAAACTATGATACTTGTGAATATCCCAATCCCAATGTAATTTATATTTTTAATTTTATGTTGAACTGTATATGAATATTTATGAAAAAAATGACGTAAAGAAACCCAATTTCTTAATAATGTACGGGATACCATAGTTACCTGTAATTAATATTTTATTTTATTTGTAATATTCTTATATAATCTTAAAATAGTTTTATAATATTAAACTCACATATAATATTAAACTAATTAATATTAAATTATTTTTAATTTTTATATTAATAATTAACAATTAAAAACTTTTATTTTCAAATAAAAATATTATCATTAAAAATATTATCATTGAAATGAATTGCAAATTTTATAGTGTAGCGCATAAACGAATTTATTTTTAAATAAATTTGAAATCATTAAAATAAAATTCTATTTTATTATTACTATTTTTATTAAAGTATCACAATTATTTTTTTATAAAATATTATAATAATATTATATATTTAATTTGAAAAACTTTTAAGTTTGAAGAAAAACACGTGTGTCATAGAATTGTAAAAGTATTGTAGTATATAAAACTAAACAATTAATTATTTTCTTGAATAATGATATAGTTCATTATAACTTATATTATTACAAATTATTTTAAAATAATTTTGAAATAAAATATTTCTAAATAATAAGTACAATAAAACAAAAAAAAATGTATCTGTTAGAGGTTAA